TGCACATTTTCTCCCTTGGGTGCCCAGCGTTAGCTGGGACTCAACAAGGAGAGAGGGAGGAAGGAAGAAAAGACACCGACAAAAAAACGGAAAACCTGACCCAACTCAAAGAGGGGCAGAAAAATCGACTGTCACCCGTTCCTCAAAACACAAATGATGCAAAAGACGACTGTGCCAGCCTCAAGCTAGAATTGCACTCGGAAAGAGCCAGAGTTCAGCTGCCCAAAGGGCTGAGCAAGAGGCACACTAAGGACCACGTCCTTCCCTCACCCGCAAGGAAGGTGGACTTCAATCCTGGCTTGCATATCGAAGAGCACCTGAGCTCCCCGGAACCCTGTGCCCCCTCTTCTCGCCCAGCCAAGGGAGAACACCACTCGCCTGCTCCTGCCGCGGCGAAGCAGAACAAAAGCTATAGCTGGCTTCGCTGCACAAGAGGCACCAACAGCAAAGCCCAACTACAGAAACTGCCCTGGAGGAGAGCTGTGGGGTGAGAGGTGCCAATCTACTGCATGCCTACCAAATCTAGACTGGTGCGTGGCACCCCAAAGAAGCTCAGCGAGCTGGCACTGACCCACAGAACCCCGGGCAGGAGATGCTGCTCCCCAGCAAAGAGGTGGCAGGGTACTGCGCTGGTGGGATCTGGCGTTCCCACGAATCTCCTGCCACCACGTACAGGAGCAAGAGGGGAAAGTGGTCTGCAGCAACAGATGGCCTCTGAGGTAGATTTGAGACAACTCCATCTGCCAACAGCTATGCGTCACAGGTCAGGCTTTTCCTAATATGCAAGCTGCTCCTCGCAGCCCCGGCTTCCTTCCCCTTCCCTGTCATCTTGTTCACAGCTCAGAAAGGGATGAAGGGGCTAGGTTTTTTGGAAGAAACCCTGCATTTGATAGCACCTTGGGTGGATACAAGCTCTGTATCCTTTGGAAACAAAGAGTGAAGCTGGTGGCTGCCGATGGCACGGCTGGACTGGTACGGTAGGGATGAAGAAGGCTAAGGCGACAGCATGAGGGGCACAGTCCCATTGACACAAAAGCCTTTGCAACAGCCAGTTTGTCTTTGGGATGTGGTCACAAGCCATGAGAACACCAGGTCCACGAGGCACAAGCAAGCTGGCAAAGGGCCTGGGCTGATGGGACCCAGGCCAGTGCTCAGAACGGGGCAGAACTCAAGGTTTCCCATGGACCTGAGGATGCTGCTGCTGCCCCATGACAAGGCACTGTGAGCTGCAGAGCCCCAAGCCCAACTCTTTGGGGCTGGGAGGTCCACAACAACTATGGGGCAGCTCACCTCCCACAGCCAAGAGAGTAAGAGGGACCCAGCTGTACTAGAAGAGCCGGGGCAAGCAAAGGCTAGGACATGTGTCCTATATGAAGAGGGAAATTCTCGCCCTTCTCTGCTGCCCAGCTCTCCAAAATTAGCTCAAAACCAGGGGTCAGAAAAACCCCACTTAACCAAAGGTCCACCATGAGACAAGTCATGGTTGAGGTTCCTCCCTTGGACCCTGGTCTCTATTTGCAGCGCCACCATCCTGTGGCACTTGGCAAGCACTGGCCAGACGTGCCCCAGGAGAGGCAACAACCCTTGCCTGAGAGCACCCCGGAGCCTCAGGGTCACAGAGCCCCAGCGCAATCCCCCAGGAGCCTGTTCCCATAACAGACACGTGGTGCCTTCAAGCTGCCGTGGCCCTGACCTCGGAGCTCAGGGAAGCACCACGGAGAGAGGGGAGGAACATGCTGCAGAAGGAAAAAGGATGATTTGGAACCATCTACAATGTATTTGTAACAATAACCCAAAATAACCAAACACTAAAAATAGAAAAGCAAAAAATTGCACGCTGATTTACGATGAAACAGAGGAAGGCAAAACCAGGAGGGATGGAAAAGGCTCCTACGAGGGGAAGGGAGCAGGGGAAAGGGACCTTTTTGGTTTTATTGCAAATGGTTCAAGAGAGCAAGAAAGGAAGGGAGGAGAGCGAGAGACACCTTGGGAAGATGACCGGTTTCCAAGCTGTTCAAGATGACGCTCGGGAGGACCGGGAGGAGGGGCTGCTTCTTAGTCCCGGTATCTCGCCCTCCTCCCCAGGAGACAAGCCTTTGCTTCTATGGTGATTTCAGCTTCTTGGTTCGCGGCGAGGTGCCATTCTCCGCTTTCACCACTCCATTTTCATGGTAACCTGGGGATGGAGAGAGAAAACTTTGTCCCTTGCACAGGCCAAAACCTTAACCATTTTGAGGCTGGCTCACAGACATGGGGAAAACCCCCACCATGGCACAGAGCTGCTGGGGACCCCCTGGGCTCAGCACAGAGCTGGAGGCACCGGCGCGGTGTCGCCTGTATGGGCAGCAGCCTGTTGGAAAGGTACCGGCAGGGCAGGAGGGTTGGCAGCGGCCCCGTCCTGGGATCTCATCTTCCAGCAGCACCATTTTTCCAACCCAGTTCTGAGCGCTGCCCGTGGGTGCCACGTTTTGCGGTGGGTTTTACGTTCCCTCCACCTCCGAGGTGATGAGCTAACCCAGGGAAGATTTACCCAGGAAAACACCTTTTCACTTCCATCTTTTCACAGGCTGGAGAGGTGGGCCCAAGCCAACCTCATGCAGTTCAACAAGGCCAAGTGCAAGGTCCTACATCTGGG